AAAAAAAGTTAATTGGCCAACTGAAAATGGAAAAAAAAAAAAACAGAATGACAAAGTCTAACATACTTCATACTTTGGAGTCTTCAAAGCATAAAGAGCCTGAAGAAAAGGCAATATTTGAAAAGATAATGGCTGATATTGTACCAGAACCTGTAAGAAAATACAAATACACAAAACTAGGAAGCATAACATATCCTAAACATAATAAATAAAAATAAATTCATGCGTTAACTCTTTATAGTGAAACCATAGTGCACCAAAAACAAAAGAAGTTCTTAGGACCAGAGAAAAAGGACAGATCATTTATAAGGGGACAACAATTAAATTAAGGAAAGAAATCTCAAAACAATGGAATCCAGAAGAAAGGGAAAGAATGTTTCAGAGAGTTGAGAGAAAATAACTCTCAATCTAGAATTGTATGCCACCAAAACTATTTTTCAAGAAAAATGATATAAAAAAGACATTTACAGATTAGCAAAAACTGATAACACATGCCATTAAGAAACCTGTACTGTATCTGGGTTTTCAGTCCTGTTCCAAAGGTCTATATCTCTGTTCTTTGCCAATAACATGCAGTTTTGGTTACTATAGCCTTGTAGTAAAGATTGAAGTCTGGTGGACTGATGACTTCCAATTTGTTCTTTTTGTTTAAGATTGCTTTGGCTATACAAGGTCTTTTCTGGTTCCATAAAAAGCATAGAATTATTTTTTCTAGATCTGCAAAGAATGATGATGGTAATTTGACATGGATTGCATTAATTCTGTAGAACACTTTAGGTAGTATGGACATTTTAATAATATTGATCTTGCTAATCCATGAGCATGGTAGTGTTTTCCATCAGTTTACATCTTCTACAATTTCTTTTCTCAGTGTTTCATAGTTCTCCCTATATAGATCTCTCACCTCCTTAGCTAAATATATTCTTAAATATTTTTCTTTGATGTTATTGTGAAAGGTGGTGTATCTTTGATTTGATTTTCAGCTTGGCTGTTATTGGCATATATGAATGCCACTGATTTTTGTGCATTGATTTTGTTTCCTGAGACTTTACTGAATTCATTTATCAATTCCAGAAGTCTCTTGGTTGAATCCCTGGGATTTTCTAGGTATAATATCACATCGTCAGCAAAGAGAGTTTGACCTCTTCTGTACCCATTTGGACACACTTAATTCCCCACTCTTGTCTGATTGCTCTCTAATAGAAGTGGAAATAGTGGGCAACCTTGTCTGGCCAGCAAACATATAAAAAAGTACTCAATATCTCTAATCATCATTGAAATGCAAATCAAAATCACAATGAGATATCACCTAACTCCAGTGAGAATGGCTTTTATCAAAAAGTCCCCCAAAATTACACTGCTGGTGGGACTGAAAATTAGTACAACCCCTGTGCAAAGTAATTTGGAGATATCGCAAAGAACTAAAAATAGAAATACCATTTGATCCAGCAATCCCACTACTAGGCATCTACCCAAAGGAAATAAAGACATCTGTACTCAAATGTCTTTGGCAGCACAATTCACAATTGCAAAGATGTGGAAAAAGCCCAAGTGCCCATCAATACATGAGTGGATTAATAAAATGTGGTATATGGGCCGGGCACAGTGGCTCACGCCTGTAATCCTAGCACTCTGGGAGGCCGAGGCAGGCGGATTGCTCGAGGTCAGGAGTTCGAAACCAGCATGAGCAAGAGTGAGACCCTGTCTCTATTATAAATAGAAATAAATTAATTGGCCAACTAATATATACAGAAAAAATTAGCTGGGCATGGTGGTGCATGTCTATAGTCCCAGCTATTCAGGAGGCTGAGGCAGTAGGATTGCTTGAGCTCAGGAGTTTGAGGTTGCTGTGAGCTAGGCTGATGCCACAGCACTCACTAGCCTGGGCAACAAAGTGAAACTCTGTCTCAAAAAAAATGTGCTATATGTATAACATGGAATACTACTCAACCATAGAAAAGAATGGTGAACTAGCACCTCTTATATTATTACCCTGGGTGGCGCTAGAGCCCATCTTTCGAAGTGAAGTATCACAATAATGGAAAAACAAGCACCACATGTACTCGCCATCAAGTTGGTACTAACTGATCAACACTTAGGTGCTCACGTGGAAGGAATAGTCATCAGGTGCTGGGCAGGTGGGAGGGGGAGGAGGGGATGGGTATATACATACATAATGAGTGCGATGCACACCATCTGGGGGATGGACACGCTTGAAGCTCCAACTCCATGGGGTAAGGGAGAGAAAGGCAACACACGTAACCTAAACATTTGTACCCCTATAATATGCTGAAATTAAAAAAAAATCCCTTATAAAAAAAAGATCTAGATACAGGAGTCAAGATACAAGAAGGAATAGTGAGCAAATAATATGGTAAATATTCAAATTTAAACAATTATCATCTGAATAAAATGATGGTAATAAAATATAATGTATGGAGCTAAAATATGGAACAAGAATGGCAAGTATGGCCGGGCGCTGTGGCTCACGCCTGTAATCCTAGCTCTTGGGAGGCCGAGGCGGGCGGATTGCTCAAGGTCAGGAGTTCAAAACCAGCCTGAGCAAGAGCGAGACCCCGTCTCTACTATAAATAGAAAGAAATTAATTGGCCAACTGATATATATATAAAAAAAAATTAGCCGGGCATGGTGGCGCATGCCTGTAGTCCCAGCTACTCGGGAGGCTGAGGCAGAAGGATCACTCAAGCCCAGGAGTTTGAGGTTGCTGTGAGCTAGGCTGATGCCACGGCACTCACTCTAGCCTGGACAACAAAGTGAGACTCTGTCTCAAAAAAAAAAAAAAAAAAAAAAAAAGAATGGCAAGTAAATCATGAGGGAGAGTTTAAAGTATTCCAAGGTTGTAGTATTACCATGGAGAAGTTAAGATAATAATTAATGTCACATGTGATTAGGTTAAATGTGCCTGGTGAAATTTCAATGCTATCCTCTAGAAATAGGGTGTACAAGTTCCAAACCAGTAGCAAGAAAATATGTAATAGGAAAAACAAAACAAAAATAAAAAGCAAGAAAGGAGAGAAAGCACAAAAAAGTAGAACAAATGAAAATTTTTTAAAAAGATGGTAAAAAAATTTCAAATATATCAATAATCCCAATAAATATAAGAGGAGTATATATATCAATTAAAAAGGCAGAGGTAGTCAGATTAGATTTTCAAAAATCCAGCTATGTACTGTTTAGAGATATGTCTGAAGCATAAGGATACAGAAAGCTTGAAATTACAAAAGTTAAAACATGAGAAAAGAAATATTAACAAATAAAAAGAGGCATAGTCATATTTATACCAGATAAAATAAACCTTAAGACAAAAGGTATTATTAGGAATAGAGAGAATCATACATACAGTTGATTCACATAATTCACCGATTCCATATTTGTGAATTTCCCTAACTGCTAAAAGTTATTTGAAATCCCCACATCAGTACTCTTCAGTGGTTTGCCAGTCAATTTCAGACAAGCACAGAGTGACAAAAAACTCAAGTCATTTGATGTGCATGTTCCCAGCTAAAGTTGAACAAGGTGATGCTCTGTCTTCATGTTTCAGCTCTCATACTATAAACATGTTTCCTTTCCAGTCTATTTAGTGCCACGATGTTTGCATTTTTGGACTTTCGTTGCTGATTTCATGGTTTAAAGTGGCTCTCAGTCACAGTGCTAAAGTGCTGGCTAGTGGTCCCATGTGCAAGAAGGCTGTGACGTACACTAAATCTTTACACTAGTAAAAAAAAAAACAAAAAACAATGTGTGGTGCATGCAGGATCATTCCTGAGAGGAGACAGAATACTTCCTGGTCTGCACGTGGCTTCTTTTCATGGGGAGATTTGAAGAGGAACCTGGAGAGGGTTAGGGTCTTCAGTGCTAACCTCAGCGTCCCCACTTTTAAGAGCAAGCCTGACTTTGCCCAGAACCTATTTCTCCTTCTGCCCCTTCTAAAGGCAGCACGTGGCCCGGGCTGAGAAATGCAGACCCAGAGATGATTCCCCACCCTGGCATTGGAAGGATCTGTTTTGGAGTTCTGTCCCTGCCACTTCCTAGGTGTGTCACTCTGGGGAAGTGACATTCCCCACTCTGAGCCACCATGTTCTCATCTAGAAAGCTCAGGAAATTCCTTCATCCTGCTAGGGGGAGTGAGAAAACACATGTGAAAGAAGGCTCTTTGAGACCTGCAAATTTAAGGATCAACTCCCAGGTCTCCCACTGCCAAAAATCATCCCCATTGTGTTTTCAGCAGAAGGCAACCCCTGCACCGGGTCAAAGGTGATGGGCGATGGTCAGGCACGGAGGACATCAGGGGAACCATGGGGGAAGGAGGTAGCCGCTCCTTTCTGGCTCCAGCTTCACTTCTGTCCAGCCCCCCTGCCTCCCATCAGCCATGCATGCCCCGTCTGCTAAGGATCTGTTGAGCGCCTGAGCCAGTAGCCTGCCAGCACCCCCTCTGTGGCTCCACGTAGTGACATCTTACCACAGCATTGTCAACACTGTTCTCCAGTCCTGGCATTTGTGTTGACACCAGAGCTGCTCGCAGTGGCCGGCGCGCAGACCCCATTGGCCCTACGGTTTGGCAGAGGCAGGGTGGTGGCTTAGCTTGGACCCACAGCTGCCGGGCAAAAGAAAACCAGGCTGAGCCTCAAAGAAACCGCACTGGGAATGCAAGATGCTGGCAGGGACTGGAAATCCCAAATCCACCCTGGCTGTGGGCCTCCCCAGTCCCGTCTGACAAACTCGTGTGGACACAGGGCGGGGGCTGAGTGGGGTCCACAGACCGTGGCCGCAACCAGAGAGGACTTTGTGATCTGGCAAAAGGATGTCTGCCCAGCCAGACCTGGGGAGAGACTGGCTTCCAGAATAGCCCTGCCAAGGTTAGGTAACAAGGAGGCTTTTCATCCTGGCTCCTCCTAAGTCCCCATGTCCAGACATTTGCTTGGTAACGTCATGGTAACCGTGATGCCACAATGGAACATTCTTTCCAAGGCGGTAGAGGAACTCCCTCTGTTGAGCTCTGCTGTGGAAGGCCAGAGTGAGTTCATTTCTCCTTTAGCAGGAGCGGTTCACGGAAGAACTCTGAGGAACATCCTGAGGACAAGAAACATCCGGTGTCATGAGCGGAACATGGTGACTTAGAACTGCGTGCTTGGGGTCCTTAGGCCGTTGTGCATGGGTTGAGGCAAGGGTGTGGGCCTGGTGACGGTAGCACGTGGCGAAGCACCCCAGGGCTTTGAATCCAGACAGACCTGAGTTCAAATCCCAGTTCTGCAACCTGGTGGCTGCGTGACCTTGGGCTGGCTACTCAATGGCTCTAAGTGTCAGCTTCTGAATCTGCAAAATAGGGCGAGTGAGAGTGTCTACCTCCCGGGGTTGTCGTGCAAATGAGCCGAACTCAATGCCAGGGCAGTTACCATGTAACAGTCCAGGCTGGTAACTACCTGAAAGACACCCCAGCATCAATCGTCTCCACTGGCAGAGTTTGGTAGGAGAAAGTAAAACCACAGCATAGACGTGAAGCCCGGATGGGCTTCCACTAAAACCCACCTTCTGTTTCAGCAGCATTTTATGGCTACAGAGTTAAGGCAAGGGTTGAATTCCTCAAGTCGAAAAGCAACCCTTTTTGGAGACCCAACTCTCCAGGACTCCCAGGGGCCCAGGCCAGACTGAGAAGAAGACTGAGCCGCGAGAGCTGCCCTCTCTCCGTGGGCTGTCGCACAAACTGTAACTGAATATCGGTGCGGTCTTGACTGCACGGAACCAAGCAGTAGGGATGTGACAGGTCGGTGCCCCAAGTCTGGGAGCCTTTGCTGGTGGAAGGGAAAGATGCGGAGCCTCCAACGCAGGGAGGACTCACCGCTCTGGGAGGAGAGGGAACCCCGAGCGTGTGTGGGAAGGGACAGAGTCACTGGGTTTTTTCCTGCTTTCCCAGCTGCCCATGGTGTCTGCCGAGGCTCTCTCTGGGGATGGCGGAGATGCGAGGGGTGCTCGTGGTCCTGCTCTGCGTTTTCCACTCTTCTGCCAGTGAGTGTGCTACTCCCCTCCGTCTGACTTTAGCTGCACGTGTCATGTGGATGGGGGACCATCCAGGGACGTGAAGTGGTCCTTAAGGTCCAGGGGGTGGCTCGGGGAAGAGGACGCACAGCACTTTGCGCCGGGCGGCATGTGCAAGGACCAGGCAGAGACGTGAACCGTGGGATATGGGTGGAGGAAACTGACGCAGGGCTGATCCTCAGGGGGGGAGTGCCCTAAGCTAGGACAGTCAGGCCCTCTGGGCAGAGGGGACAGTATGAGGCCTGCCTCCCCACTCACAGCCCCGCCCCGCCCTTCCTGGGGAGTGCTGCTCTTTTGCAAACTGTGAGCCCCAATCGCAGGGCTGGTCCCAGGAGCAGTGGGGACTTCTACTGCTGTCACTGCCGTGGGGACAGCCAGAGGCTCAGATGGCAGAAGTGGCAGCTGTGGTCCCCACCTCCCCTGACGTCGAGGCTGTTAACTAAGAGTTCCAGCCTAGAAAGGGGCAGGTGGAGAGTGGACACCTGACTATAGTGGGCTCTGTCCCACCTCACTGCCGTCCCAGCTGGCTCTGCCCTGTCTTCCTGCAGTTAGATGGGAGACATGAGAAAGCCCCATACACACACACACACACGCACACACACATGCACATGTAAAGAGGGGAATCCTCCACATTCCTCAGCCTCCTCTACCTCCTCTGTCTTTTTGCAGTCCCAAGGAGACCAGAGGGTTAGGGTTTTCCTTGGGAAATATAGAAAGCCCTTATCCTTTTCCTTAGTTACAATGAAGTGACCCAGAGCTGGCATTTCATCTCTGGGTCAGATTTTCTCATTACATCCTGACCTTCCAAGGGTTTTGCAAGGTCAAATGAACTAGCCAACCAAAATTTTAAAAAGTAAGAGTAATCACACACCTGTAGGGTTAGGAAGAATGGGTTAATGCCTTGTGCCACCGATTGCCAATGGCCCGAGAAAGAATCAGACGGAGGATAAGGAATCCTATCTTTGGTGGTTCTGAAGCACTTAGTGGCCTTACACACATCATCTTGCTAACAACCAGCTCTGTCATTGCTCCAGTGTCAGTTCTCCAACTGTCAATTAATGGAGACGTTTGCTCATACCATGCCCCACACAGAGAGGTCCTTTGATGTGATGCTGTGTGTTACAGGCAACTCCAACATCGTGGTTGGGAAACTCTGACTTTGGCACTTACATCAAAGATCACTACCTAGGGGAAGTTCTCCCAGACTACATGCCCTGGGAAGATTTCGTGCCCCCTCCTCTGTATGCTCTGGGCACATTCCCTTGTGTCACATGTCTGTCTGTGTGTGGCCACCAGACTTTAGCCTGTCACTGTGACAAACTCCTGAAATCCATCCCTGGAAGACCAGGCCCCAGCGCAGCTCCTGGAAGGGCTGTGTGTTTGGATAAATAGCTAAAAAAGCAGTCCCCAATGTTTTGGTCCACACAGTCTGCTGGTGTACCCCCCACAGGACACCATGACCCAGGGCCACTGCTTTAGAAGCAAGCTCTGAGTGCTTGTGGTTTGGGATTTACAAACAGCAAACCTGAGCAGCGGTTTACATTTTAAAAGAATGGAATCATCTACGCAGCGCTTGGTTTGGCATTGTCAGCTGTGGGGATACAGTTTGCAAAGTGCTTTCTCGTAACCTCACCTCATGTGATCTTCGAAGCAACTCCAAGAGGTGTGCGGGTCTGGGATTCTTACCCCACATTTCAAAAGAGGAAGCTGAGACCCAGAGAGGGGAAGGGCTCGCAGCAGACCAAGGGGCCAACGTGATTTTGGACTCTGCATCTAGGTCCTTTCCAAACGCGTATAAGAATCTCCCCGGGAGCTGTTTTCAGAAAATGCAGTGCCCAGGGGTCCTGGCGGATGAAATGGGCAGTCAAGGTTGAGAATCTTCACTCTGCTTACATAAGGCCAAGATAGGCATGCCCAGATCCAGTAAGGAGGGCGGGCACTAGTCCCGTGGGCATGGACCCCCCAGAACAGGGCATATGGACCCTCGAGGGAGGACACAGGGCAGTGGAGGGAGTCAGCAGACGGAAAGAGCAGAACGGCTGGTGTAGACGCCTGTAACGGGGCCTGCAAAGCAGGAGACAGCCCGTCCAAGCCAGGGCATTGAAGAAGTCAATTCCCCCTTCCAACTAGATGAGCTGCAAGAGTCCTTCCTGTTCTAACATCCTGACACTGTCCATGATTCTATGAATATAGAACTTTTTTTTTTTTAAATACAGGGCAATAGAGCTATTACGGGCCAACCCAGGGCTGGCAGGAGGAGCATATTATTTAAACATTAACACTTAACTCTCATGGGAAACAAGTCCAGGCTGCCCAAGACAGTGGAGGCAGCCCACTGCCGGGTACGGGAAGGCCAAGGCCCAGCAGGCCAGGGCGGGCCAGAGACGGCCTTCCCCTGTCAGGACCTTCTAGCCCCTTGACGACAAGAAGTCAGGGAGTGCTTAGTTGGCAGAGCCTTTGGTTCATGCCCCAGATGATCTGAGCACCTATGATGACTCAGACGCCGTAGAGTCGCGCAGGTCAACAGCCTGCAGGGAAGGGCACGCGCAAATCTGGGGACATGAAATGTGGATGGAACCTAGACCACGTGCGGTTGAAGGCTGGAGTTGGGACTCATCTGCGCTGGCCCTATCTCCCACCAGTTGTGTAACTTGCGCAAATGCCGACCGGCTCTAAAACTTGATTTTCTTACCTACAAACTGGGAATGACACCACCTCTCAGGGCCGCTGGGGAAATTGTATGAAGTGGTGTACATCGGCAGTTCTCAAACTTTTTGGCCTCCGAACCCCTTTATGGTCTTAAAAATTATTTCGGACCTCAAAAGAGTCCCTTTTTGCTTGTGAGGCTGTATCTTTCCATATTTACTGTATTAGAAATGAAAGCTGGGAACACTTTAAAACAGGAATACACAAATTCACCATGTTATTAGCCATCAGAGTGATGACATCAGGTAGCCTCTGGAAAATTCCACCATAGGCTCCTGAGAGAATGAGAGAGAAAATGCAAATAATGTTTTCATATTCTTATGAAAACAGTTGTCACCTTGAGATCCACAGAAAGGTCCTGAGGACTCCCAGAGGTCCCAGGCTACACTTTGAGAACTGCTGATCTACACCAAGGTTGCAGAAACTGCTAAGTATTCAATAGATGAGAGTTGTTTTCAGTAGTCTAATGTGATTTCGAGGTTCAAAGATGCCACCAAGCATCTCTGAAGGGGAAGAAGACCCGCCAGGGAAAAGAAAGAAACGGGGTGATAGGATCAGCGGTGAGCCAGGGGGGCAGGCAGCAGGGGAGGGGTCCTGAGGCCTGGCCACTCGGGGGTGCCCCCAGGCGACCGTCTCCCCGCCTCAGCAGTGAGGCTCCCGCCCTCCCCTGCAGGTTGCGGCATCCAGCAAGCTGCCAACTCGGACGTCCTCGATCCCAATCCCGAGGAGAAGCTGGTCCGCAAAATGGAGTTCCCCTGGGTGGTGTCACTGCAGGACTCCCAGTACACCCACCTGGCCTTCGGCTGCATCATCAGTCGGTTCTGGATCCTCAGCATCGCGTCTGCCTTTCAGAACAGGCCAGTACCCCTGGTCGCTGCTCGGGCGGGTGGGGGCAGCTCAGTTCCCTGCTCGGCCTGTGACAGTTCAGCTCGTGCTCTGCCATGCGCCTCGGGGCCTAAACCCACCAGGTGCCAAGGCTGGAGGACTGTGGGCCTCGCTACTGAAACCGAAACGATTCTTCCTCCGCTCTGCACAAGAAGGACATTTGCTCCCATGTCGCTGCTGTCGCAGAGGCACTGCCCTCAATACGAGAGTCCCTTCTGCTTACCTTGTTAAGCCAGTCAGTCACTAGGGGTCCTTTACCTTAAAATGCTCACCTAGGGCTTTGCAAATGTTACTGCCACAAATATGTGTACACAGAGAAAAGTCTTGAAGAAAATGCAGGAAGCGTCTAAACAGTGCTTATCTCTGCATGCTCAGAACAAACGATTTCTATTTTCTTCTTTGAAATCCCGAGTTCTCCACATTCTGTACGATACGTATGCATTCGTTTGCACCAGAAAAAACCCATAAATGTTATTAAAGGAACAGCTAATATCCGTAGAACATTTTTGTGACTATTGTAAAAAATTTTTGTAAATATTTGTAAACTATCTCACGTTTTGACCCAGTGATTTCACTTCTGGGAATCAACACTAAGGAAATAATTTCAACCACTGGAAAAGTTTTATGCAAAAAGTTGTTCATTGGATGGTTAATTACACACAAAACACTGAAAAGAAACCTAATGTCCAATTATCACGGCTAAAAAAGATTATAGCATAATTTCTCATATATATGCACCCCTGGGCTCAAGCGATCATCCTGCCTCAGCCTCATGAGTAGCTGGGACTATAGGCTTGCACCACCATGCGTGGCCAATTTTTCTATGTTTTTTTTTTTTTTCTTTTTTGTAGAGACAGGGTCTTTTTATGTCGCTCGGGCTACTCTCAAACCCCTGGCCTCCAGCTATCCTCCAGCCTCAGCCTCCCAAAGTGTTAGGGGTACAGGCATGAGCCACCACTCCTGGCCAGTGTATCAATATGTAAAATTGGGGGGCAGAGTCTACTTGATCTGTCCTAGACTGCCAGAGGTGAATTAAAATCTCTTACCATCGGCTGGGGCGCGGTGGCTCACACCTGTAATCCTAGCACTCTGGGAGGCCGAGGCAGGTGGATTGATAGAGGTCAGGAGTTTGAAACCAGCCTGAGCGAGACCCCGTCTCTACTAAAAATAGAAAGAAATTAATTGACCAACTAAAAATATATATAGAAAAAAATTACCCGGGCATGGTGGCGCATGCCTGTAGTCCCAGCTACTCTCGAGGCTGAGGCAGCAGGATTGCTTGAGCCCAGGAGACCGAGCTTGCTGTGAGCTAGGCTGACGCCACGGCACTCACTCTAGCCTGGGCAACAAAGTGAGACTCTGTCTAAAAAAATAAAATAAAATCTCTTACTATGAACAGGCTTCTGATTTTTTCTCCTTCTATTTCCTGTAGTTATTACATAGTGAATACTACATCAATTGCTGCGGACATTTATAGCTCTGAATTCTTCCCTATAGACTGAATTCATCATTGCGTTAAGAGCCTTTCTTTGTCTTACTCAACTCTCTTCTCCAAATTGATGTTCAGAACGTGGTTCCTGCTTCTTGTTTTTGTCGTAGGGTATGTTTTCTGTTTTTATTGCTTCTTGTTTTTCTTTCCACTATATTACATTTCTTTTGTTTTATAGGTCTCTTCTGACAAACTTGGAAAGCTTGTCATATTTTCATTCTGGTTTCCATGTTAGAGTTAGACTTTCACAAGACACCGAAATCCTCTGCTGCTTTCTGAACAGCCCCCACTAGACTCTGGTGTGGCCAGTACCCAAATCTCTACCTTTTCTCTTTTTCCCTTCCTCTCTTCCATCACCCAGTTTGAATAGCTTACAGATGTGTTTTATTATTTATCTCAACTCATTTGCATATTTGCACACCCTTCGTGCTTCGTATATTAGCTGTAAATAAATGTTTAGGCTCCTTCCTCATTCTTTTTCCCACTTTAGTTATACTATTCGGTTATTTCCAGGGTTTACCTTTTTACTCCAATTTATAACTTTTTTTTTTTGAGACAGAGTCTCACTCTATTGCCCCAGCTAGAGTGCCGTGGCATCAGCCTAGCTCACAGCAACCTCAACCTCCTGGGCTCAAGCAATCCTCCTGCCTCAGCCTCCCGAGTAGCTGGGACTACAGGCATGTGCCACCATGTCCAGCTAATTTTTTCTATATATTTTTAGTTGGCAAATTAATTTGTTTGTATTTTTAGTAGAGACGGGGTCTCGCTCTTGCTCAGGCTGGTTTAGAACTCCTGACCTCGAGCAATCCGCCCACCTCAGCCTCCCAGAGTGCTAGGATTACAGGTGTGAGCCACCACGCCCGGCCTCAATCTATAACTTTTTAAAGTTTCTCTTTTTAGTCCACTATTATAATAAATTTCACACTCCCTGTTCGTCCTTTTGCTGGATTTTCTCCAACGCTAGGTTTGGCTAAACTTTGTATTCAAGTACAAAGTTTAAAGGGCTTTCAAGAACCGTAGTTCCCTGGTCTTGGCATTTTTACAAATGCTGTGCTGTCCTTAGACCTGAATGACCACTTAAGTGCAGAATTCATGGCTCACACCTTCTCTCCTTTTGAGGACTTTATGGGCATCGCCCTGGCATCTGGTATTAAATCTTGCTGTGGAGACATCTGAAGTCATTCTGATTGTGCCCCTATAGGTAGGTGGCCACACAGCCTTGTGTACCTGGGAGAGGCCCAGTTTACAGCTCCTACCCCAGCATGCTGCTGTCAGCCTCTCCTTTCACCCTCACAAGTTCCCTGGGTTAGACAGCATGGCCAAACTTTACTAAGATGACTTCTTCGTTGGTCTGGATATCCAAGGATTCCTTCTTTGTCACTCGAGTCCAGCAATTTTACTAGCTATGCTGACTCTCTCCCATCAGCCTCTCCAGATCCACCCCCTACTCTTCTACCTGGTGAGCCCAGGAGGCTCACCTGTATGGGTTACACCAGTGGCCACTCCTGCCTTCTGGGTTCCACGTGGGTTTGGCCAAGGAGAGCACTTGCAAGAGATAAGAGGAAACGGAGAGAATGTGATCAGGGTCCTCATTCCCCTGAGGGTCACTGCAGTTGGCTTCTTTGTCCAGCTAAGTGACCCACTCTGCACATCTCTGACCTCTCCCTCCCCTCACCTAGAGCCCAGGTGGTATCAGCACTCTCTTGTGACCTCAGCAGGGACCTGCCTATCCCTTGCAGTACCCAGTGTACCCTAGTATTTGTGGTTTCCCTGCACCCTGCCAAGACCTTTGGCAAGAATCCTTTTATTCAACTCTCCCAAGTTTGCTTTATTTAATATGCCATCTGTTTCCTATTGGGACCTGGTTAGGGTAGGTCTCAGTGTTGATATCTCCAAACTATAAATTCAAGTCTTATTGCTGGAAAACTTTCTTAAATTATATCTTGAAATATTTTTTCTGTTTCACTATTGTGGTTACTTTCTTTGTGGTCTGCTGGCTATCCTTTGACTGCCATTTTCCTCTCTAGCCTTTAAAAATCTTTGTTAGTTTCCATTTCATTTTGGCCACTTTTCTCAATGTCCCTAATTGTGTTTTCTGTGGCCCCTATTCTCCTTTCATGCCGCTTCCCATTTGGCCTTCATTTGGGTGATGGTTTTCTTTCTTTTCAGTGCTTTGCTGAGAACCATGCTCAGCCAGCTTTATCTGAGCTCTGTGGCAGCAGGTGTCGTCTATAACTCTTTGCACTCCACCTGTCCTTCACTGCTTTCTTCAGCCCTTCCTCCAATTCTGAAGTTTGGATGCTCTAGTGCAGGCGTCCTCAAATTACGGCCCCAGGGCCACATGCGGCCCACCGAGGACATTTATCCAGCCCGCCAGGTGTTTTTGCCACCGCTGCCTGTCTTGCTTAGCAGCCGACTCGTCCCGGGCCCACAGTGCGCGTGTGTGCAATGTGCACCGCACTCTCCAACGGTCTGAGGGACAGTGAACTGGCCCCCTGTTTAAAAAGTTTGAGGACCCCTGCTCTAGTGCCTCTTGGTTTTATGGTGTTTGCATTTATTTCTCATTCTCATAGCATCTTTGGTGATTCCCAAGAGAAAAAAAGGAAAACACCCAACTTAATTCCAGCATTATTAAAACTGGAATCTCTCCAGAGTGTATTTACAGAGTATATAATAGGGAAAGATACTTGTATTAAAACGTTAAGTGCTAAAAGCAAGAGTTGAGATTGCATCTTTGGTATAACTACAACTATTACTTTAGCAAACAACTATGTGAAAAAAAAAAGCTATGCACAAAAAGAAAGTTAATCAGCAATAACCTGTTAACAGATTATCTTTGGGTGCTAAGACAAATGGTGTTAAGACACAGGAATCCCCAAGATTCTACAGGTTCACAATGGAAGGCACAAGCCTAAGCGTTTAGAAAAGATTTCCTGGAGACTGGGTCCAAAAGGGTGAGTAAAAATAAACACAGCGAAGATGAGTTGGATGAGCTTTCTAGGCCAGGAAAAAAAAAAAACCACAGTAAATATGAAAACAGGGAAGGGTGAAGCTTCCTTGCTGCCTTGCTTCTCAAGATGCCCTTGCTCTCTCTCCAGGAAGGACATTGTCGTTGTGGTTGGTTTAAATAACATGGATCCCAGCAGGATTGCTCACACCGAGTACCCCATCAATACTGTCATCATCCATGAGGACTTCGACAACCAGTCGATGAACAATGACATTGCCCTCCTGAAGACAGACTCGGAGATGCATTTCAACAGCCTGGTCCAGTCCATCTGCTTCCTCAGAGGAGAGCTACATATGCCTCCAGTCTCGCAGAACTGCTGGGTGGCAGGATGGAACCCCACGTCTGCAGTTAATGCATCCCTTCTCCTAGAAGAGGCTGCGTGTGTGCTAGCAGTGGGGGAGACCTGGAGGGACCCTTCTAGGGCTTATCTTAATTTAGTAACTGAGCTTGCTTGAGGTTCTAGAGCTAGGCTAAACCCCTCCCCCCCCCCAACCAAATCAGTCAAGATTGCCAGCGCTTGCCCTTTCTGTGGCCATTCTCACGCCACACTGGTCCCTTCTCCTCTAGCCCTACACCAAAACTGGAAGCCCACAGGGCAGTGTGCAGGCTGACATAAGTGCAAGGTTATGGAGGGGTAAGGGGACATCATTCCCTGAACTAGAGCTGACTGTCCTTTTGTCTAAGCCACTCTTGTTTTCTTTCATTCTTGGGAAAGGAAGAGAGAAGGAAAGGGCTACCCTCTAGCAGTAAAGGTGTTTTCTGCCTGTTTACGCATTCACATTCAAAGCAAAGGTAGTTTTCAGTAAAAACTCAGACACAGGTTCTTACTTCTATGAAGAAGAGAGACTTATAAGAACATTTTCCACTCACTCCCATTTGGATGAGTTGCAGTTGCGTTGACGTAGGGGCCACCTTCTCATTAATAACTCTTGGGCTCTCTGTTGCATGGTCCAGACAGGAAAACATATGACGATGAGTATCCTGAGGGGAATCTTTGTGAAAGACATTGACCTGTGTCCCATACCCAAATTCGAGAGCACAGGATGCGGCCGTCACACAAAAGAGGAAACTAAGTCTGTCTGCTTGGTAAGAACATCGTGGAGTAGAAGCTAAATGTTGAGAGTAAGAATTGGTCATGTCAAGGAGACGTCAGGACTCCCCCTTACTGCATGGGGAATTCCATGGGAGCAGGAACTCTAATTTGGGATTCATGGCTGTCTCTGGGGTGAATAGCACTTGGCACATAGCAAGTGCTCAATAAAAATCTGCTGAATGGGCTAACTAGTCACCATTATCAGTGTAACATGAGTAAGCATGGCTAAGTCCCAAATGTTTTTAACTAGCTAAAAATTAGGAAGTGTGAGTCTGTGTCCACACATGCAGATATGCTCTGAGCAGGTCTACAGTGTGGGTCACCTCACCGTATTCAGGTTCTAGGAAACCTAGACTCCCCCTTTGACGCTACTATTGATCAGTTACTGGGTTTTTTTATTCTGTAAGAAGCCCTGCCCCCCACCCAGATGAGGGCTGTTACAGATATGGCTGTCCTATTGTCTCAGAACATGTGCAGAAGTCCCGAACATCTGGTTCAGGCCCCCTTGTGTCCAAATCTGCAGCTTACTAGGGTCACGAAGCTAATAAATGTTAGAGCAAATATAAGAGCCCAGGTCTACCAGATATCCAGATAGAGTTTCCCGCTTCAACCCTAAAATTGTCTAAGACGTTGATCACCTACTCTCCTCTAAAAAACCTTCAGGACTTCCTGATGAGATTTTTTTCTCAGAGGATCTAGAAGAACAAGTTTTTTTGTTTTTTTTTGAGACCAGGGTCTCACTTTGTCGCCCATGCTGGAGTGCAGTGGTAACGATCATAGCTCACTGCAACCTCGAACATCTGGGCTCAAGAGGTCCTCCCACCTCAGCTCCTGAGCAGCTGGGACTACAGGCATGTGTCACCATTCCCAGCTAATACTTTTTTATATTTTGTAGAGACAAGGTCTTGCTATGTTGCCAGGCTGGTCTCAAACTCCTGGGCTCAAGCAATCCTCCTGCTTTGGCAAGTATTTTAGAGTAGGGGAAAAATACATATATACAGATACTTCTTTATAGAAGTCATTTTATTGCAAAAGCATGAAGGACTGCCTCTCAGGAAACAATAAGTTTGCCCTTCCAAAGTTGGTTCAACATTTATTGAGTGCCTACATTGTACTGGGTCCTCTGCCAGACGGAGAACCTAACCAACTTCTTAAATGAGATAATATGTTAAAATTCTGGCCGGGCGCGGTGGCTCACGCCTGTAATCCTAGCTCTCTGGGAGGCCGAGGCGGGCGGATTGCTCGAGGTCAGGAGTTCGAAACCAGCCTGAGCAAGAGCGAGACCCCGTCTCTACTATAAATAGAAAGAAATTAATTGGCCAACTAATATATACAAAAAATTAGCTGGGCATGGTGGCACATGCCTGTAGTCCCAGCTACTTGGGAGGCTGAGGCAGGAGGATCCCTTGAGCCCAGTAGTTTGAGGTTGCTGTGAGCTAGGCTGACGCCACGGCACTCACTCTAGCCTGGGCAACAAAGCGAGACTCTGTCTCAAAAAAAAAAAAAAAAAATGTTAAAATTCTGTAGAAATCATAGGTATTTAACAAAATCTTGACCTCAACCCTTCCATCAATCCAGTATCATACTTCATCAAATCTAAGGTGCTGCTAATCATAGAATATACCATATTTATGTAAGACCAAGAATGAAAATATGTTGCCAGTTAAACTCTGATATCAACTAATTAAAAGACACATCCTAATTTCAAAGATGTTACTATTTTAAGTGTATGTTAAATTGAATGGAATATGGTAAGCTGTTTAGACTCTAAGTGTTTATAGCTTTTTAAACCCACCTGCAAACTTCAGGTTGGTTTTTAACTGTGGTACACCTGTTACAGTCCTTTGTTTTTGAACACAGTTGTGCTTGCAAACCAATCTACTGGTGACATGTCTATGTAGAATCCTTCCTGCTCTGGGAAGGTGTCCTGGTGTCCAGAGGTCCTCAAAGCCACACTTCTCACGTGCAGAATAAACCACCAGGTGCAGTGTCTGCCTGATAGGTTTCCCCAGAGACCTGACACAAAGCACAATCCCTCTGAACTTGCCCCCGAGTTGGCTAAATGTCGAGGGAGGGGATTACACAGTGAAAGGGCTCCCTCTGTGTCGTGGCCACTCCCTTAGAGATGAGCCCAGGCTGCTCCGGAGGGGCTCCTGCTACTGTTTGTCCCTGCTGCTGTACTTCAGAAGTCACAGCCCCCAGGATGATGGGAAGGAGAAAAAGCACTGTATTTTGGGTAGAACAGCAACCTGCAAAACTATAGCTGGGGACGTCTACCACACAGTCATTCATCAGATCGTCCTTAGTTGCACTTTTTCTTCCTCAAGCTATAAAGCCACAGTGAAGACAAACTGGGAACGGGATGGGTGAAAGGAGGGGAGACCGCACCACTCCTGGCGAGGAGCTTCCACGCCAGGCAGACACCGTGGGGTGCGGATGAGGGCGCGTTCGCTGGTACGAGGATAACCAGTTGGACGCTGGGCTGAAAGCTCTACCCTCTGCTGTTCGGCAGCGTGGGGTGAAATAGCAGATTGTGAAAACTGAAAGTTCAAGGGTTCCACACGACAGCACTCCCTTCCGCCCAGGGAGAGGCACAGAGTGTAGGCATCGTGCCTGCTCACTCTGGCCTTGGCCCTCTGAGAGGCCCCCAGGGAGTCGCTCCTTTCTTCTCCCACCCTCCTTCATCTAGGTTCTGCTGTGGCTTCAGAAACAGGGACGCTGATTGAAAGAGGACACCCAAGACAGACCACACTCCCGCTCTCCTGCCTCTCTGCTTCTCATGGTTGAGTCTGTTACCTCTTGTCAATTGCAACCTGTTTTGTCAAATGCAACCCTGTTTAACAGTCTCAGTCCAAACCATGAAAGCATGTCACTGCCCAGGCCCTCTACCCAGGCAGGCCACACAGGTCTGACGGCCTTTGGGTGGCAACTCTTTTCTTGCACCTGATGGACCACGGGGTGGGGGTGGGGGCAGCAAAGGTCAGTCATACCTACTAGTTGTCTTATTGCTTTCCCCATTTTTTCTCAACTTTTCACAGAAAAAATGATGGCCTTTTATAGACATCAAGATGACAGTAGTTCATATTTCACTGTGTACTGTGTACCAGGCGCTGAGCTAGGTCTCTGCATGTGTTTCAGGCATTCACTGTGCTCCCACTTTGGCTCAGAGAGAATTTGTGACCCAGGGTCACACGTAGGTAGCCAAGTGGGCCGAGCTTCCACCCACTCACCTTAACTGAGGTAAGGTGTGCGTGGCAGGACTCTGGAGTCCCAGAGCACTGTCCCTCGGATTGGGAAGGCCAAGAACACAGCAGGGCCGGGCAGCAGGAAAAATAGGCAGCTGCCAGGTCAGAGGAAGCAGCTTAAACTAAGGATGGATGCAAAGTGGAGGGAACGGGAAATGTGAGCATTTCAGGCCAGGAAGGAAAAGAAATAGCAACATTCCAGGACTGAGAAGCCAGTAGAGAGGGAGGATTTAGTCAAGGTACTGGAAAGGGGTAAGAAAATGAAATATGAATCAGGAAGCGACAGGCAATGTGCAGAAGTCCACGAATAATTTGCATAATGAAAGGAAAAGTCATCTTGTTGGAATGTGTGGTGCCTGGATTAGAAATGGTACCCTATAATTTGCCCCATGTCTGGTGAGAACCAGTGTAAAACATTTCTAGAACAAACGGTAAATTGCGCAAGGATATATTAAAAAAGAAAACGAGCTTTTTCTAAGACCTGAAGCCTTCTGTCCTTTGTCACAGGGGGAACCAGGAAGCCCAATGATGTGCCAGCTAGAAAGGCTGAATCTGTGGGTTCTGCGAGGAATCCTGACGCACGGTGGGGAGAAATGCCCCGGCCTGTTTCTGTACACCAAGGTGGAAGAATACAGCAACTGGATCCTGTACGAGACTAGGATGTCTGGCCTCCCCCTGTCTTCACTCCACCACTGGGAGAGGCTGATTTCTCTCTCCCAGCAAAGACCGCATGCTGCCAAGCCACAGAGCACACCTGCTGCATCGAAGTACCTCAAATGGTCCCCAACACACTTCCAAAGACAAGCAAAAACCAACATGCCTTTACAGCAAATGAACAGCTCTAGAAGTGGCCTAGACTTTAGGGAAAAGGCTGTGAATGAATCGAGCCGGCTTTCTGAGCCAGCCGCACAACCCGCGTACTATGACTATTACGGTGGGGAGGCCGGGGAGAGCGGGTCTGCTGCAAGTCAGAATACGCTGCATCAGCCCCAAGAAATTATCTTGGTTTCCTCTGTGCTTGTTTTCTTTTGCAGCCGTGTCTACTCTGGGAGTTAACCCACCAAACTGAAGAGTAAGCTCAGAATGCTGAGTGCCAGGCATTGCCCATGCTGTTTCGGTGTCTGTTCTTAGCAGTTGCATGCCTGGGCTGCCACAGATAGGCCCAGAGCACACACAGTGGGCTGGCTCTCCCTCCTTTGTCCCACTCCCACCTGCAGGAAGATCACTTTCATTTGTGCTTGTAAACTAAATGTGGGCTAACAAGTGTCAAACCATTAGAGTGCCCTGTGGTTCTTTCAATGCTACTGGTTTCAGGGGCCAGGCTGTGAAAACACTCCCCGTGGGCAGGTGTGGGAGGTGCCCAATCAGCCTGGCTGGGGAGTTGGGGACACCAGCCAGCACAGGGAACAGCGAGAGGACCCCAAGACTAGAAAGGAGCTGATTACTTTAATGGATCACATCTTGGTCTGCAAGCCTCGGCCTGCCTCTGGCTATTTACCAGGAGGGGGGGCAGACTGCCTGCAGCTGCTCGTTAGTTGTTTTCATTTTATTCCAGGTCTTGCGGTAGCCTTTTAAGGACATCTGCAAAAAAGGAAAAAGGGGGAAGGGGGAGGAGAGAAGGTCACTTGGGAAAAGCTGATTGTAACTATGCAGAATGCAGCCTCATCCAGCCCTGCTGATGGTCCAGACGACCCTGCATGGGGCCACGTGGGTGTGCACTGCTGTGCAGGGGCGGCCAAGGGGCAGAAACCACCCAGAATATTCTCCAAAAGAGCATGTTTCTGTCCAGTGAAGTGAGAAGTTGCAGGTTCCTGCTGCAATTCTTTGTTAGTTCTCAGCTCTAGATTTGATGGGCCCATGTTTGGGTCCTGATTTACTTCCTGCCACCAAGTGGCCACAGGAGAAGCAGGAGAAAGTAACTGGGAAACAGAGCCGGGGGTCCAGATGTGAAAACGCCAAGCTCCCAGTTTCCCAACCAACCCGACTGGGTTTCTGAGCTGCTCTAGCGATGTCTTAGGGACCTCGGTTCACAACCTGGTCCTGGCAGCCGCAGTGCTTGCCTTTTTGCTGACACCAGTATATTGTTTTCACGTTGCCTGTTTCTCTTCCATAGCTCACAGGGAGCAAGAGTATCATATTCAAAGGCTACAGGGTTAGTTAAAGGCAAAAAGCCCCATGGCAACTACGGTATGTGGGTGCATGGTATCAGGTTCTAAGTGATATTAAAAATCCATTATTATCTCATCTTTAAAAAAAAAACACCTGGCTTCTCCATGTATAAAGTAGCAATCACTACACTACCAATGGCTTGGAGGGGTTCAGAAGCTTCTAGCATTCATTAAGAAAACAAGCAACTGAAAACACATTATTTATGACAGTGTCTCTCCCTGAAAACTGAAAAGACTCTGTCCCCAACGATGAAAAAGGAGCTCTAAAGAAAATCATTTTGGGCCGGGCGCGGTGGCTCACGCCTGTAATCCTAGCACTCTGGGAGGCCGAGGCGGGCGGATTGCTCGAGGTTGGGAGTTCGAAACCATCCTGAGCGAGACCCCGTCTCTACCAAAAATAGAAATAAATTAATTGACCAACTAAAAATATATATACAAAAAATTAGCCGGGCATGGTTGCGCATGCCTGTAGTCCCAGCTACTTGGGAGGCTGAGGCAGGAGGATCACTTGAGCCCAGGAGTTTGAGGTTGCTGTGAGCTAGGCTGACGCCACGGCACTCACTCTAGCCAGGGCAACAAAAGTGAGACTCTGTCTCAAAAAAACACAAAAAAAACAAAAAACAACAAGAAAATCATTTTGGTTTAATAGTTGAGGCAACTTCTGAGATTTCTCATAGACATAACCTGTCCAGATATCTGTATTCTTAACCCAAAAAACAAAATCCCAAACAAAAAACGTCGAGGGCTCCCCATCTTGGGATTCTCTGCGGCTCACCTCTGCAATCTCCACTTTCCTTTCCCACATCTTGATGCTCTTCTCCAGGTCTACGTTTAAGATCTTCTCCTGGAGGTACACCATCACATGCGGCGCCCGGAACTCAGCCAGCTGCCTGCGCAACTTCTTGTTCAGACCCTCGGCTTTGGCCCGGTCCTGGGTGGGAGAGGATCGATTAGACGCAGGGACCCCTGGCAGCTGCTGCTGTGAGGGAGGACTCACAGCCCCTGCCATCTCTCCCCACAGTTTCAATATAGTTCTAAAAATAATGTTTACATTTTCAAAGGGGTGGGAGGGGAACCACAAGATTCTGATTTTTTACGGATCGTGATGTTTAATCCAGTTCAGGAACACTAAGTACAGCGTAAAAGTCTTTTGCTGGGTGCAGTGGGTCATGCCTGTAATCCCAGCATTTTGAGAGGTTGATATGGGAGGATGGCTTGAGGCCAGGAGTTCTAGAGCAGCCTGGGCAACATAGCAAGACCCCATCTCTACAAAAACTAGAAAAACTCTCCGGGCGTGGTGGCACCAACCTGTATGGAGTACCAGCTACTTGGGAGGCTGAGGCAGGAGGATTCCTTGAGCTCAGGAGTTTGAGGTTGCAGTGACCTTATGATGATGCCACTGCATTCTAGCTGGGGCGACAGAGAGAGATCCTGTCTCAAAAAAAAATCTTGTTTTTTTTCACTCCTTTCCCCTCTCCCCCTCCCAATTCCCTTACCTTCCCCCTCCTTCCTTCTGGGTTTTTTTTTCTTTTTCTTTTTGAGGCAGGGTCTGACTCTGTCACCTGGGATAGAGTGCAGTGGCATTACCAGAGCTCACTGCTGCCTACAACTCCTGGGCTCAAGTGATCCCCCTGCCGCAGCCTACTAAGCAGCTGGAACTACAGGCACATGCCACCACACTTCTTTAAATAAAGAAGACAATTAAAGAAGACATTTATATGTATTCTTTATTACTGCGTTAATGATTTCTAGATTTTATATAATATTTTGAAAGCCATCCTCATTCCAAGGTTATATAAAAATTTTCTATTTATTTTAGGACTTTAATGGTTTTATAATTACATTTAAATCTCTGATACACCTGAATTACTTTTAGTGTAAGACATAGTTCCAACTTAATTTTTTCTAAATGGCTACCCAGTTATCCCACATCATTAATTCAATAATCTGGCTGTCCCTTAATTACCTTTATTTTAAACTAAAAAATAAATATCAGAACTTTATTAGATACTTGATCATGTACATATCATATATGATCTATATCAGAGCTTGTTACAGGACTTTATATTTTTTCCTTTGATGTTCCAGTCTATTAATATCATTTTAAATATTGCAACTTTATAACATACTTCAGAATCTGATAGGGCTAATCCCCTCATTTACTTATTAAGAATTTGGGGGATATTTTTATTTATTTTTCCAAATGAATTTTTGAGTCAGTTTGTTTATTTTATTTTTTTGAGACAGAGTCTCACTCTCTTGCCCTGGGTAGAGTGCCATGACATCAACCTAGCTCACGGCAATCTCAAATTCCTGGGCTCAAGCGATCCTCCTGCCTCAGCCTCCCGAGTAGCTGGGACTATAGACATGCACCGCCATGCCCAGCTAAATTTTTCTACTTTTAGTTGTTTGGCTAATTTCTTTGTATTTATAGTAGAGACAGGGTCTCACTCTTGCTCAGGCTGGTCTGGAACTCCTGAGCTTAAGTGATCCTCCCACCTTGGCCTCCCAGAGTACTAGGATTACAGGCGTGAGCCACTGCGCCCTGCCTGAGTCAGTTTATTTAGATCCTTAAAAACACAAACAAAAAAACTCTCTTTAGTATTTTAATTGGACTATCATTGTTTCGCAGATCAACTTAAAGAGCACTAACATTTTTACAATGGTGAATCTTGCTAAGGTAATATATTTTAATTCCTTGCTTCACAAAGTACAATCTGTGGCATTGGCATCACTTGGGAGCTAGTTGTAAATACAGATTTTCTGGGTACTCCAGACCTAACCAACTAAAATCTGCATGCTAACAAGATACCCAGGTGATTGGTTTGCACCTCCCAGTTTAAGCAGCACTGTTTTAATTCACTATAAAACAAACCATATTAATTAACTCATTTTCAGAAGGCAATAAAAATGTGTCAAGTATTCAGTGAAAATCTCCTGTCTAGAGTAAACATGTAACTGTGGGAAGACCCAACGACGTGCTCAGAACCATCAATGCATATTCTTGTCAGGATGTTGCTTAGAGAATACCTAAGATAAAATATAATGAAGTAGGCCGGGCGCGGTGGCTCACGCCTGTAATCCTAGCTCTCTGGGAGGCCAAGGCGGGCGGATTGCTCGAGGTCAGGAGTTCGAAACTAGCCTGAGCAAGAGCGAGACCCCGTCTCTACTATAAATAGAAATAAATTAATTGGCCAACTAATATATATACAAAAAATTAGCCAAGCATGGTGGTGCATGCCTGTAGTCCCAGCTACTTGGGAGGCTGAGGCAGGAGGATCACTTGAGCCCAGGAGTTTGAGGTTGCTGTGAGCTAGGCTGACGCCACGGCACTCACTCTAGCCTGGGCAACAAAGCGAGACTCTGTCTCAAAAAAAAAAAAAAAAAAAAAAAAAAAAAAAAGAATATAATGAAGTAGCAAGAACTGAGACATTAAAACTGAAGGCCTACAGCTGTTAGGGACATGCTGCAAAGACCAGGGACTGCAATCCCCACCCAGCACCCCACCTGTAGAGCGAAGATGTCACTACCAGAATGGTGGCCCACTGTTACCACATCTAGTTCCAAGGCACAGGTGCAAAAGTTTTGCCCAGGGGAGAGGCTGTCAATCAGAGAGCTCTGGAATGCTGCCTAAGGGGCCTGACTTAATTTGAAACAGAGTTGGGTGAGGAGTTCATGCCTAAGAACTTTGTGGGAAACAACGGAGATCTCTGGGGTGAGCAATTTAGAGGAGGTTAGTATTTCTATGATATTAGCAGCAACAAGCAAAACAATAGACCAGCTAGATGTTTAACAGAACCAGAGAAAGAGACCAAGAAGAGGCCTTCTAGGGTTGAAGCAAGCCTCAAAGACTGGCAACACCTTGCCCCTGCCAAGAGACTAGACTTTAATTCGATCAGAATGTGAAACAATGTCCCAGGGTGTTGTTGAAGGCAATAGAGCAATCAGCTAGCAATTAATGGAGGCTAACAGCAGGGTGTGATGCCAATAGATCAGCCAGAAGCTCAGCAAGAAGATGAAAAGTCAAAGAGAACTCAGCTGAAACAACAATCACCCCTGGTTGTCAGGGAGATTGTATCCATGACCAAGGCTGTGCCCTCTGAGGAGCA